TGGCGGTAGTGCTCCCGTCCCCCAGCGGGCTTAGTTTAAAGCCCGGTGGAGCAGGTCAGCCAGTCTGGCTGAGAAGAGCCTCCTCCCTAGGGGAGAGAGGTGGAGGCCATCTCTTCCCAGCAGCTCGCTGCCTCTCTCGCCAAAGAGCGGGCTGTGGTCATGAAAGCCAAAGCCTTCCTGATGACACCAGCGCCGCAGTCTTTGGTTGACCACATAGATCATTCTGTCCCTTCTCAGCCCATAGCCTGAGACTGGGAGGATAAACGAGAACACCACCTGTGCCCCCAGACCCTTAAGTTTAGGATTTAATGACATAATAAAATGTCATTAAATCCTAAACATAAAAAAGATATACTTTCTTCTTCTAAGAAGTACCACTGAGCCTTTTCCTTCAGTCCCTGCTAACCAAAAACTCCCATTACTTTAACTAACAGCCTAATTCTACTCCCAGCTGGGCCACTGAGGTGACTGGTGTAGGATGGACTTTAAGAAATTTGGCTTCAGTAGACAATGCAGGATTTATTTTGTTCAATGCCATTCAAAAAGCTTCTTTATATATATCACAAGACTGAGAAAATTACCTTGAAATTCTGTTCTCTGAGGATGTCATCTTGCAAGACCCTCACTTCATTAACTTTGCTTCTTTCTTGCTTCTGGGAGGGGAGAATCACTCCCCTCTCAGAATGGTTTTTGATCTTTCCAGACTCCTATTGGCATCAAATGCCAGGTACCAACCTATGAACTTCCCAGAAGGGAGAGTTCTGTACAGGTGGTATTTTTACTTAACTATAAATTAGAACCTATTTTGGCAAACATATATTGATATTGACTGATATTTTGAGAGTTACATGCCCCCACCAATAAATACAAAAAACTTGCAGACACTTACCAGCTCTTTAATGATATCCGCTGTGTACTGGTTTTGGTTGTCACTTTGGATCATGTTCCAAGCACTTACAAGTAATAATCACCATCTATCTGCTTGAAGAACGACAGTATAATTAGCCGCTGTATATCCATCCACCCACAGAACTAAGAGCCACAGAATTTCAGTTTGAAAGAAAATCTCAGTTCCTAATAAATACAGTATCAAATGTATCTTTAGCACGGTCATAGTTATATTAACCGAGGAAAACTGGTAATTTTTTAATGTTTGGACTTGTTCTTTTAATTCTATTTATATTCACATATCTTAAGGTCAGCAGGGAAAATTAGTTCACCTAGTCTAACTTCCTATATATACAGGCCAAAGAATTTAATTCAGTTACCCCTGTCCTGAACTTGATAGCTCAAGCTTAGCTAAAACGTATTTTCCAGAAAGTCATTGGGTCTTGATTTAAAACACCGACGCCTGGAATACTTACCACCTCCCCTGCAAATTCATTCCAGCATTGAATCACTGCTAAAAAAACCTGTGCCTTATGCCTAACCTCCACTTTTCTAGCTTTAACTTCTAGCCCTCAGTTCTTGTGGTACCTTTTTTGTGTTAGATAAAGAGCCCTTTATCACTGGTACTTTCTTGCACTTCTTCGGCTTCTTTTGACAAGCTAAGTATATTCATTTCCTTTAGTCTTTCATTGTAAGGCATTTTCTCCAGGCCCTGTATAATGTTTGTGGTTCTCTGCTTTGCCCTCCCCACTTCTTCAACATCCTTTTTATAATCATGCACGTAGATGCTAGCGCAGCTTTCCAGTATCATTTTACCAGTGCCATTTGCAGAGGTTAACACACCTCCTTACTGCTGCTCATCACTCACTTGCTTGTACATCCATGGATTGCATTGGCTCTTTTTCCTACAGCGTGGGAGTTTCACTCCTATGTTCACTGGCTCCTAAATTCTTTAAGTTACTGTTTTTCAGGATCCAGCTTCCCATTCTGCAAGTACAACCAGTTTCTTTGTTTCTAAAAGCATGAGCTTCCATTTGGCATAAGATACATACCTGTTGTTTCTTTTTGACTTGCTATTTGAAAAAAAAATAAAGAAAAGATGCTTTCAAAATGAGACACGTTTAAAAAATTCATGGTTCCCAGGTAAGGTAATTCTCTAACAAAGAGGTGAAAAGCCCACGTGCGCGGTTATGAAAATTGGCTGAAAAATATGAAAACACAACTAGCTGACATGTTTTTTTAAGAAATCACACATACTTCCTTTGGCTGAAGTTAAATGCTATCCTGTTGATCCTAATGCACGACCATTTTGTAATTAATGCAGCGCCTTTTTCCCCTCCAAAGATCAAAGAGCTTGTTAACAAACGACATTGCGAGGGATCATCCTGTCACCCTCGAGATACTGCTCTTGTACTCCTCCAAGCTTTCATCCAGCCATTTTGTAAAGGAAAAAGGCTTTATCCCATTTCAAGAGCTGGGGGAAACCTAACTGAAACAGGTGAGAGCTAGGATTTGGAGTGAACCCTGCTCTTTTCAATGTCTCAAAGGAGGATGAGCAATCGAGGCTGGGTTTTTCCCGCATCTCACCTTAAAGACGGCAAATGCACAGACTCATGAAATAATGGAATCGCAGAATCACAAGACCCCAGAACCAAATCATACATCTGAGCAGCAGGCCAGCCCTGCTCGGGGCAGAAAAGGATCCCAGACACGGACACGAGCCACGTGCGGCACTCGCTCCGGCTGGTCTGGTGCCCGCTCTGGGACACGAGTCCTGTACGGCGGCCGATCCAGTTGCTTGGGGACACAACCCACGCGCAGCCCACGTGGCACACGAGCCACGTGTAGCGCCCGCTCGGTGGACACGAGCCACGGGTGGCAGCTTCTCTGGGACACAGGCCACATGTGGCACCCGCTCTGGCCAGTCTGGGACACAAGCCACACAGGCGGCCGGTCCGGGACACGAGGCCCACGTGGCGCCTGCTCCGGGGCGCAATGGACATGCCGTGTGGCGCAGCGTCACGCCACCTGGAGCGGGCGCTGGATTCATCTGGGGG